CTCCGGAGGGTGGGAGGGTTTAGGGATGCAGATCCTGCCCGGGGAGCTCGACGTGGGGGAGGGGGTGGGCCTGAGGCTCCCCCAAGTCTGCTGCGCAAGAGCTCCTGGATGCCCAGGGCCCACCTTGCTCCTCCTGTGCAGCCTCTTCCCTGCACCGCTGCCAGCCCTCCAATCCATTATTAGTCCCCCTAAACCTGTTCCAGAGGATGAGCGCCCCCCCCCAGGCCTGAGAATCTCTCCCAAGCTCCTCCTCCCAGGAGCCATACGGGGTCCCGACTCCATTCCGATCGATTCCCAAAGTCTCTCTCTCTCCTTCCTCCTTAGAGCTAAAAGCCCCCCAATATTCTCCCCCAACCCCGGAACCGGGGATTGAACTCAAGACCTTGCGCTTGCCAGGCGCCGCTTAATTGAATCTCGGGCCCTAGATTGAAAGACCAAATCGCCCCTCCCCCCGTGCTTCCGGTCATCACCGCCTCCCGCCCCTCCCGCGCTGAGCTCCGTGCCCCTCCCAGGCAGGACCCGAGGACCCCTCAGAGTCCCCGTACGACAGGGCCGTCCTGATCAGCGCTTGCGAGCGGGGCTGCCGGCTTTTCTCCATCTGCCGCTTCGTAGCCAGAAGCTCCAGGCCCAACGCCACCCAGACCGAATGCGAAGCAGGTGAGGGCCAGGGCAGGCCCAGGTGCGCCGGGGTGGGGAGTGCTGGCGAGGAAGGGCCATCCCCAGTCATGCCCCTGCTATCCCCGCAGCATGCGTGGAAGCCTACGTGAAGGACACGGAGCAGCGAGCCTGCCGCGAGGGCTGCTGGATCCAGGCCCCCCAGCCGGATCCTGAGGCCCAGCCCCAGAAGGTGGGCGCCCCACACCGAGTCTCGGGCCACATCCCCAGACCTCCCCCAGCTTCTGCGTTCCATCAACACCTGCGGGGTGGCCTCGTGTCCTCTCCAGCCCCCGTGGTCACTTCTTTGGCCTGGGTCCTAGCACCTGTCACCCATCTCCTACCCATCACAGGGCTAAATGGCAGCCAACACAGTCACTGTTCAGGTATCAGACACTCATTGTGGTCCCAGGCCTGTCCCAAATTCCTCCTGCCACCTGGAGATATCAGGCATGCTGTCCCTGCCAAGGGATGACTGGCTGTGGGGTCCTGCAGTTAGGGCAGTGGCAGAGGCCAGTTTTGGGCCACTGGGCTCGTGGCTGCCTCTCTTCTTGGTCACCTTCACTGCCCTGTGGCTTCTTGGCACTGGGATGAGCAGTTCCCCTGTGACAGGGAGGTGGCCACTGTCATCTAAGAGGGTGGAGACAGCTGGGGGCAGAGCACTGTCCCAAGCACACAGGGCCTGGGGCGGAAGTGGCCATTGCTCACCTGCATTGGGGGGAAACTGAGGCACAGGACGTCATGCTGCACAGCCAGAGACCCGGGCCTGGGGGCTCCCCAGAAGGTCCTTTCCCTGTTTCATCCAGGCTCAGAGGAGCACAGTCCTGTCACCATGTCACCTCTTCCCATTTGAATGAGACGGTGAGGAGAGGCTTGCAGGACTCATGGCCACTGGTCATTTGCAATCTGTGCTGCACCAGCGGCTGGGGAGACATCATTAAAATCTTACAGCTGCCCTAGAGTGGAGAGAATCGTCTACTCCTGTATTAGGGCCCAGAGAGGGCAATGAATTTTCCCAGGGGCACACAGCAAGCCACATGCCATGGGGTCTGGGTCTGAACCAAATCACTCAGCCAAATCCAAGCACAGTGAATCCCTCAGTGCCCCCCCTTCACAATGTTCTACTCTGTCACCATTTATTATTTTTTTGTTTGTTTGTGGTACTGGGGATGGAAATCAGGACTTGTGCTCGCAAGGTGGGCATGGTGTCACTGAACTAAATCCCTGGCCCCGACACCATTTTTGTCCCTTGGGCCTTCGCACAGCAGAGAAAGGTCCTGGAAGCTCCTGGCGGGACCGTGTCCCTCCTGGACTTATTTTCCACCCTCTGCAATGACCTTGTCAACTCGGCCCAGGGCTTCGTCTCCTCCACCTGGACATACTACTTGCAGACTGACAATGGGAAGGTGGTGGTTTTCCAGGTGAGGAGGCTGGCAGGGGCCGCCCTAGGTGGCAGGTGGGTGGGCGGGGTAAGAATGGGGCATGCAAAATTCGTGCTGGGTGACTCTCAGATTCAGCTGGATTCAGGAGCTCAGTGTCTCCCTGTGCCCTCGACTGTGCTTTCCTCTCTGGGAGCTTCATTTCTGGGTGTGCTCTTCCCTCCTGGCAATAGAATGGGTGCCAGGGGCTCTGGATTACAATCTCTCTGGGATTCTGGAGAGGTTGTTTATTTATATGTGATACTGGGGTGGGAACCCAGGTCCTCAGCCCTGAGCTACGTCCACAACACTTTTTTTTTTTGTTTTGAGACAGGGTCTATATAAGTCCCTAAATTACCCAGGCTGGGCTTAAATTTGCAATTCTCCTGCCTCAGTCTCCCTCAGTGCTGGAATCACTGACATCGTAGGCCACAGAGTTTTCGCTGAGCTGGGATTGGCCCTGGCTGGGTTCTAAACCATCCCTCAGCCAATCACTGTGATTCTGCGGGCTCAGCCTAAGTCATCTTCTTCCACTGGGAGCCGAAGGATGGGGTTTAGGCAAACAGTGCCCAAGAGAGCGGAGAATGTCCCTGATGTCACAGCCCGGGAACTAGGTGCCAGAGCTGAGCCTATCATCTTCTTCCACTGGGAGCCAAAGGATGGGGTTTAGGCAAACAGTGCCCAAGAGAGCGGAGAATGTCCCTGATGTCACAGCCCGGGAACTAGGTGCCAGCTGGACAGGGGGCACTGCCTGCCAGGGCTCAGAGTGCCTCTCATAGCTCCGCTCTGCTGTTTGCTCCGGTCCAGACCCAGCCTGCGGTGGAGAGCCTGGGCTTCCACAGCGGCCGCCTGCAGCGACTGGAGGTGACCTGGAGGGGCCTGCATCCCGAGGCCCTGGAGGTGCACGTGGGTAAGGTCCAGCCCGCTGTCCCTGGAGTCCTCCTGGCCAATGGACCCCATAGGGTGGGGCTCTCCTTCCTCCACTGCTGGGTCCCACAGTCGGTCTCCTAGGAGCCCACGGACCATCCCCCAGGGTTCCAGTCGATCTCCTGGGTTCCATGGTCCACCCCATGATTCCTCGGTCCATCTCCCAGTGTTCTGTGGCTCACCTCCCGGTGCTCTTTGCCCATCTTCCAGTGTCCCTCGGTCTCTTTCCCAGGACTGCGTGGCCTGTCTCCCAGGGTCCCATGGTGCGCCTCCCAGGGCTCCGTGTTCCATCCCTAGTCTCCGTTCTGAGCCCCGCGGCCCACCGCCCCAGGTCCTGGCCTCCTTTCCCTGCTCTGCGGTCGCCCCGTTCTTCCTGAGGTCCCGTGGTAGACAGCCCCTCTCTCAGACCCCGTAGGGCCCTTGGACAAGGTGCACAAGGCCAAGATCCGAGTGAAGACCAGCAGCAAGGCCAAGGTGGAGTCCGAGGAGCAGCAGGACACTGACTTCCTCAGCTGCATGTCCCGGTGGGTGGCAGGCCCTGGGGGTGGGGGTGGACGCCCCATGGCTCCCGCTGCAGCCAGGCGGGTGCTGAGCTGAGCCTGGGCCGGCAGGCGCTCGGGGCTGCCCCGCTGGATCCTGGCCTGCTGCCTCTTTCTGTCTGTGCTGGTCATGCTGTGGCTGAGCTGCTCCACGCTGGTGACCGCACCGGGCCAGCACCTCAAGTTCCAGGTAGGTGGGAGCAGTGGGCACACGGGGTGCGTGAGGGGCTTCAGATGTAGTGGGGGGCCCTGTCTGGGCCAGGGCCCGAGCACCTGCTGCCCCCACAGCCGCTGACCCTGGAGCAGCACAAGGGCTTTGCGGTGGAGCCCGAGTGGCCCCTGTACCCGCCTCCATCGCACGCCTGCGAGGACAGCCCCCCGCCCTACAAGCTCAAGCTGGACCTGACCAAGCTGTAGCCCCGTGGCTAAGTGGCTGCCCCTGGGACCATCCGTGTGCCCCTCCACCCCAAGCCTCCTTGTCCTTCACCCTCCCCTCTCGCACTCCTCAGTCCCAGGGGGGCAGGTCTGGCCTGGGCTCCTCCTGTCCCGCTTCCTTGGGGCCATGCTACTTTTTGTCTTCGATCTTGTGGCTTTCGGAGTGTCTGCACCCCCGTTTCGTGTTGCCTTCCTCCTTTTTCTGTCCCCTCTCTGGGGGCTGAGGCACAGGGGAGCCACTCCTCTGCAGTTTCCCTCTTATTCCCGGGGACCTGGCCCCTCCAGGAGCGGGGACCCTGGGGACTCCCTGGCGGAAGGGGCCGGGCTGGGGAGAAATAAACCGTGTACATAACAGACATTCTGGCTGCGCCTCCTGTGTTCCATACCCTGTCTGCTCCGGGGAGCAGCCCGGCTGTGGCTGTGATTCCTGGCCACCAGGTCCTTCCATGTCACCGTGGAAGCCCCTGGAAGTCGTTGCTGGCAGAAGGAGCCCAGGCCCCTGCCACCCCGCCCGTCACACATCCAGGGAGGGCTTGTCCCTGCAAAATGGTGCGTGTCCCCCTTCCCAGCGGGGCTGGCACTTGTGATCCTCCTGTCTCAGCCTCCCAGAGTGCTGGGATGACAGGTGTGTGCCCCCCCGCACCGGGCGTAAGGGAGCTGTTCTCGGAGGTGTGGAGGGGTGGCGGCTGATGCGGTGAGATGGGCTGGAGGAGGAGATGGCGCTGCGGTCTTGGGTCCGGGGATGCTGGGAGCGGTGCTCTGCCCTGTCCTGGAGGACGCCAGTGGGACTGACTGAAAGGCTGTCCAGCCCCGTGGGTTCCTCTCACTCGCTTCCCTGTCCCCATGGCCACCATCACCGGCCACGTAAGCTGGGACCACCAAGCCCCTCCCTCCAAACCTCCTCAGGAGATGGGGCTGCACACACAGGAGTCTGCAGCTGCCTGCGGGCAACAGGAACCAACTCCAGCCACTGGAGAGAGACAGGATTTACGGAAGGGTGCAGATGGCGGGCCCGGTGCCGGGAGGGGACCTGGAACCTCACACGTGTTGGGCAAGCTCTGTACCACTGAGCCACGCCCCTAGCTCTTTTTGGGTTTTTATTTTGCAACGGACTGGGTGGCCGGGTTGGCCTTACACTCAAATACTCCTGCCTCCGTCTCCTGAGTGCTGGGACCACAGACATGACCACTGCTCCCCTGTTCTGTACCAGAAGGGACTTGTGCATTTGAATTTTGGCACCCTCGGGGGTCCCTGGAATGCACAGCCCATGCATCCCAAAGGATGTGTGCATATTTACCGTTTTGCCTTTGGTTATTGAGTTGGAGTCTTGCTGTGTTTGCATAGCCCAGGCAGACCCTGAACTGCCCACCCTTTTGCCTTAGACCCTTGAGTGCTGGCTTTACAGGCACGAACCACCGCATTCAGCTGTTTTTGTTTTGTGTTCATTTATTCCATCCATCTATGGTACTTAAATAGCTACTGCCAGATGCAGGGGTGCACACCTGCTATCCCAGATACCTGGGAGGCTGAAGCAGGAGGATCTCAAGCTCAGACCCAACCTGGCAATTTAGGGAGACGTGTCTCAGAATAAAAAGCAAAAAGGACTAAGGTGCAGCTCAGTGGTAGAACACCCGTGGGTGCCCCCCACCACCAACTGTAAGTGGCCAGCCCAGCACAAAGGGGATTATGGTCCTTCCCTTCTGCCCGCCCTGCTCTTATCCCAAACACCTGTGGCTCTGGATATCTTAGCCCATCTTTTTCTTTTTTAGGGGGCGGTGCTGGGGATCAAACTCAGGACCTTGTGCTTTCGAGGCAGGCAGCGGCACCACTGAGCTAAATCCCCAGCCCAATCCCATCTTGATTCCTACTGACTGTCACTCACTACTGCTCTCCAAAGACCTGTCCTCTGCCTCAGACAGCCTCCAGCCCACACTGGCCCCTTTCATTTCCATGGTGACCACTGAGGTCCTTGCACCTCCTCTCCAAGCTCCCCACTTCCCTTTCTGCCCTTATCAGTTACATCTGTGTAAAGTAAATCCCATCCCAGACACTGCTGTCTCCTGAGCGGAGCCCAAACATCCAAATATACCAGCAAGGCCCCACAATCCAGCCCCATGCTCACCTCTTAACTACTCCAGCCACATGCCGTGTCCTTGAATCCTGTGAGCTGCCCAACTCCTTCTAGCCCCAGGGCCTTTGCACTTGTGTGTCTCTGCCAAGGTCATACCCAAAGGGGTCTGCTTCAGTGGAAGACGAGTTTCCCATGATGGCACAAGCTCTCTTGGGTGCCCAGATCTCTGTCCATCTTCTCTGTTCTTGCCACATTCATAGTTGGCTCATAATGGTTTGTTTCAAACTTGGCCTCTTTCCTGTCTGTCTGTCTGTCCGTCTGTCTATCCGTCTGTCTGTCTGTCCGTCTATCCATCTATGAATGATACTGGGGATGGAATCCCGGGCTTTACACTCTGCTACATCCCCGGGCCTTTTTATTTTTATTCTGAGACAGGATCTCACTAAGATCCCTGGCCAGGCTCAGACTCACAATCCTCCTGACTCAGCCTCCTGGTGTGCATGGCCGTGTCTGGCTTGCTTTCTGAAGAACTTTCCTTCCTTCTTCTCTCCTAAGAGAAGTCTGGTGCACCAAGACAATCACCCGTGGGCACCCTGGACACAGCTGGGATTGATGGAGGGAAGTGTCCTGTTAACTAAAGTTGCTGAGCAGAGAGGATGTAGATCTAGAGCTGCCGAGGGCCCCTTGTGGCCATGAAGACTGTGCTTGCCGTACAGATGGAGAGAAACAATGTCTAAGGACGTTGTTGGAAGTCCTGGAGCAAGCTGTGCTTGAAATCCACCTTACCCCTCAATTTTTGGCTTAGATCAGTTTATGTTGCTTTTTTTTTTTTTTGGAACTGAAAAGGACCGTAACTGACTGCTTTTTCTTTGACCCCTCCTTTAAGAATAAACACCCTTCTTGCATGGGTGTTTTTTACTTGTTTGTTTTATATCATGTGTCTAGAGCATTAATTCTTCTTTTTCATTTTATTTGAGACAGGGTCTTGGTCTGTAGCCCAGGCTGGCCTCACATGTATAGAGATCCTCCTGCTTCAGCCTCCTGAGTGCTAGAATGAAAGGCGAATGCCTCCGTGCCTGGCTCAGAGATTGCTTTACTGCTTCCTGGCCTGTCTCCTCCATGTACCATCCTGGGCACACTGCAGATGCGGGGCTGGCTCTGCCATGACCTCGGCACCCACAAATGCAGACCCTGGAGGCGTCGCCCGGCAGGACGTCCGGAGCCTCTGTCCCCTGGGCCCTGCCCACGTCTCTATCTTCCGCCTTCATCCCACGCAGACCTGGTGGTGGTGGTGGGTGGCTGGCTGGTGTCATAGCAACCAGCAGGCGCACCCATGTCTCTGGTAGCAGAGGGTTGCCATGGCAACAGGCCATCCTGGTTTCCTAGTGACAAGGACAGTGATCTGGCTTGGGGTGGGAACCACTGTGCAGGGGAGGGAGGGAGATGGCCCTGGTGTCCAACAAACACGCAAAAGACACTCTGGAAATGCTCACAGTGAAAGGCCGGAAGGGGGACTGTTGCTTCTGCAAAGCTGGGGTTTGGGCCAAGCCCCCTCCTGAAGCTGCTGTGTCCCTGCTGGGGTCCTCCTTTCTTCAGAGTCCCCACAAGGGCCATTCCTGGTGGCTGTTTCCTGTGAGTCCCTCCTGGCCTCACTTCAGCTCTACTGTACCTCCGTCACCTTCCAGCTCAGCCCAGGCCCCTCTAAGTCACAACACCCCAACTGAAGTGTTTATCATGTTGACAATTAAGTGGTTGCTTCTTTACTTGTGTGATGATTGGTTTAATAAATGGTCCCTCTGCCAGATGCGACACTCTAGGCGTCTCGGTCACAGCTGCGTCCCACACACTGAGGAGGCTGCTTGCAATACATCTTTGTCAACACTCTTCCTTCTCGCTCTGCCTGGCCCATTTTTCCAGAGCCAATTCGGCCTCGTTTCTGTCCCTTGAGCCCTCTCTGGCACTGGTCTAGGGCCTTCCACATTATGTCCACCTGGAATATTCTGGACCTTTCCACGGCGTTCTGGAAAGGCCCAGAACATTCTAGAACATTCCGTCTCCTGTTTTTACTACACTGGGTCGTCACTTCCTAGGGGAAATTCTCCTTGATTTGACTAAATCACACCCCCCATCTCAGCGTATTTTCTTTACGGCAATCACTGCTGAATGGAAAAGCTTTGGTCATTCATAGGTGTATACGTCTCGGATGTAGCTCTCCCCTTACGTGAGGGCAGGATTCTTGCCTGGTGTGACCCTCAGCAGGAACCCAGCACTCCATCTGCTGAGGGGGAGTCCCTCATGTTCCCTCTGAGTCACACCTCAGCAGTAGCCCTAGCTGTACCATTTTGGGTTCTTGTTGTTTGTTTTGTTTTTGTTTTGTTTTTGAGACAGGATCTCATTGTGTCATCCAGACTGGCCTCAACGTCACAGAAATCTTCCTCAGCCTCCAGAGTGCTCAGATGACAGGTGTGGGCCATCACACCTGGCCCCCAGCCCAGTTTTTATTTCTTGTTTTGAGGCAGGGTCTCACTGAGTGGCTAGGTTGCCCGGGCTGGGCTGGTTTTTGCTTTTTTTTTTTTTTTTTGATTTTTTGGGACAGGGTCTCACTAGCTGAGACTGACCTGGAACTCACTATGTAGCCCAGGCTGGTCTCCAACTCACAGCGATCCTCTGGCCTCAGCCTCCCAGAGTGCTGGGATGCCAGGCATGTACCACAGTACCTGGCTACTGTTTTTGGTACTGGGGATTGAAACTTCATTTTTTTTTCTTTTGGTACCGGGAATCGAACTCAGGAAATTGTGCCTTAGAGGCAGGCAGCAGAACCACTGAGCTAAATCCCCAGCACTGACTACTTTTTTGCAGTGCCAGGGATGGAACCCAGGACCCCACGTGTGCTAGGCAGTGCTCTGCCCCTGCCCAGTGTCCTTTTGAGGATGTTAAGCCAGCCTCATACGACATGAATGCTTTGGACATAGTTGTGATGCTGTGTTATTTAAGGACTCACGACAAGAAAAGAAAATGCTCTGCATGTTGGGCACAGACACCATTTATGTCTTCTCTTCCATCTGCACTGTTTGGAGGTGGGGACGTGGAGCCCTGGGTGCAGATGGCCAGCTGCACTGCTAGGCACCAACTGGCGTCCCCAAGTGGTTGCAGCAATGGACACCGCCACGAGCCAGGCGTGACAAGCAGGCTTTGAGGCACCGCCCCATCATTGGCAAGAGGCACAGTGGTGGGGGCCGGTGAGGCACCTGCTCTGTACACCTGATGCCCTGGCTTCTGCCCCAGCACCACCAAGGAATGGGGACGGTCATACCCCAGGGTGCGGGCGCGCTAGGCCATGCGTGTCAGTCCCTTCTGCCTGACTGTCACAGCCCACCCTAGGCACAGACATCTTAGTAAGAAAAGAGACTCACCTGACTCGCCCTTCTGTAGGCTGGAAGTCTGAGCAGGAAGGCGTGACTCTGGCAGGGGTTCCTTGGGTCGTGTTGCCTTGTGGCAGATGACAATAGTGGGACATACCTGGGGACAATCAATCAACCTCCTTTCTCTTTTTCTGTTTTTGCGCTGGGGATGGAACCCAGGGCTGTACACCACTGAACTACATTGCAAGCCTGCCCTTCCTCCCTCCCTCCCTCCCTCCCTCCTTCCCTCCCTCTGTCTCTCTCACCCTCCTTCTTTTTGTTTTCTGAGACAAGGTCTTTCTCTGTAAAAAAAAAAAACAGTGGCCTTGAACTCACAGAAGATCCTCCTGCCTCAGCCACCCGAGCCCTGGAATCACAAGCACACACCACCATGCCCAACTCGATTTTTCTGCTCTTTCTGTCACATGCCACAAGCAGGCATCCTGGGGTGGAGAGCAGGGACTAGGTTCTGGGAGGACACTGAGAGGTCAGGGGTTGTCAAAGGTCTGCAGGTGACCAAGGGAAGCCACAGCAGATTCATCATGGGAAAACACCATCCAGTTAGTCATCCACGGATTCACTCGCTCACCTGGAGATTGGCTGTTGGTTGATGGATGCCGGATACGCTGTCCTTTGGACCCCAGCAAGGCTCTAGCTTGGATACAGATACTGCCAGGTGTGGTGGCCACGTCTGGGCAGAGAAGCAGAAGCTCTGTTGAGCATCAGGGAGGATTCCTGGATGAGGAGGAGAGTGCAGTGGGCGCCAAGAACTCAGGCAGGTGCATAGGATCCTTCTCTTCCTTGGTGGGGGTTCCACAGCTGCCGTAGCAAATGATGACAGCTGGGCGGCTAAATGAAACAGGAACAGCAGGCAGGCACAGCGGTGCACGTCTGTGATCCCAGGTACACAGGAGGCTGAGGCAGGAAGAGCCCAAGATGAAGCTAGTTTGAGCTGCCTAGTGAGACCTTATCTCAACAAACGAACAAACAAAAAACAAAACAAAACTGAAATTGAATCTCAGAGTCCTGGAGGCCAGAAGTCCAAAATCAAGGTGTCTGTAGCTCAGTGGTAGAGCACTTCCCTAGCATACAAGAGGTCCTAAGTTTCACCCCCAGCACTGCCAAAGAAAACCAACACCAAAAAAGCTAAAAGTCTTAGCTGTGGGCTGTGGGGGCACATGCTTGTAATCCCAGCTACTGGGAGGCTGAGGCAGGAGGATTGTAACTTTGGGACCAGCCTGGACAACTTAGAAAGATCCTATCTTAAAATAAAATAAAGATGCCTGTGTGTTCAGGTCAGTGGTAGGGCATTTGCCTAGCATGTTTGAGACCCTGGGTTCCATCTCTAATACCTACAAAAGAGAAGAAAAAGCCAGGTTTAAGTGGCACACATCAGTAATCCCTGTACTTTGAGAGACTGAGGCAGCAGGGAAAATTTAAGTCCTGCCTGGACAACATGGCAAGACCCTGCCTCAAAGTAAAAAATAAAATAAGGGGTTAGGAATATAACTCAATGGTAGAATCCCTTTGAGTTTGATACTCAGTCCTAACAAAAGAAAAAGACAAGAAAACATTATAATTGGGCTGGGCCACTACCAAGGCCCCTGGGGAGGACTCTCCTGCCTCTGCCAGCTCCTGGTCCCTCAAGTTTCCTTGGCTTGTGGCTGCACCCCCCAACTCTGCCTCTGACTCACATAGCTTTGTCCCCTGCCTGGAGTTCTCTCTCTCTCTCTCTCTCTCCCTCTCCCTCTCCCTCTCCCTCTCTCTCATAAGGACATTTGTCATTAGATCTGAATCAACCCTAGCCCAGCATGATTTTTTTCTTGCAAAATCTTAATTCCATTGTAAATACCCTATTTATTCATTTATTTATTCACTTGCCTACTTGTTTTATTTTACTGGGAAGTGAACCCAGGGCCTTCTCACTGAGCTACATCCCAGCCCTTAAAAAAAAAAAAAAATTGGAGACAGTGTCTTGCTAAGTCCCCAAAAAGGTCGCTAAGAGGTGGTGGGACCTTTAAGAGGTGGGGCCTAGTGGGAAGTGGCAGGCCTGGCCCCAAGTGGGACTCGGCTTTTGGCCTGGCTGGGTTTCTCCCCCAAGAAGAGGCCCTGGTTACGCCCTGTGTGCGCGGTGCGTGTGCGCCACTAGCCTCTTTCTTCCTCCTCAGCCTTCCTCTGGTATTTCATTCTAGTAACAAGAAACGGGCTGATACAGGCTGCCCCATCTCGATGCAGACAGGGCCCCAGCACCAGGAAGCAGTCTAGGGTCCCCAGGAAGGGAGCTGCTGGCTTCCCGGGCAGCCTCCTGCGGTGCGACGTGCCTCACCTTCCCTGGATCTCAGCCATCCACGCCCTGGCCTCGGAGTAGCAGGGCCGGCGAGTGCAGAAGTGGTGACAGCAACCCAAGGCACGTACATGGTGGACAGCCAACTTTCTGGTCAGTGTTTTTGTAGAAAGGGTGACTAATTCTTTCTCTCTCTTTTTTTTTTTTTTCTGGTGCTGAGGCTGGAACCCAGGGCCTTGCACATGCTAGGCAAGTGCTCGCCCTGAGCTCCACCCTCAGCCTTGGGTGACTAATTCTTACCGAGAGCCATTCCTTAATTCCCATTTCATGGACACGGACGCTGAGACCACCCAGCGACCCTGAGAGCGCCGCCGTGATTCACTGGCGCACTATGTGTTTATCTAACGTGTGTCTGCTGCTGTCCGGCAGCCACAGCAGCAGCAGCCAGAAACAAAACAGCATTCTCATCCCCTGGGAGCTGACATTTCAGTGGAGCGGATGAATGATAAGAAGGAAAGGAAAATGTCTGACAGTTCCTCAGAAAGCTGAACACAGAGCTCCCCATCCCAGGAGCCCTCAATTCCACACCTAGGTTTTTGCCCCAGGGAACTGAAAACAGGGGTCAGTCAAATCCTTGGACACACATGTTCACTGAAGCCCAGCAGCGTGAACAAACAAGTATCTACCAGTGCATGAAAAAATACACACAGGGTGGGACATCCACTGGGTGGAATATTACTCAGCCGTGACAAGGAACAACGTGGATGAACCTCAAGACCATGGGGCTGAGTGACAGAAGACAGACATAAAAGGCCACTCAGTGTGATTCCACTGACACGAACTGTCCAGAATAGGCGAATCCTGGGCTGGAGATTTAGCTTAGAGGTTCTATCTATCGCCTGCCTCACAAGTGCAAGGTCCTGAGTTCAATCCACAGGACCAGAAAAAAAAAGAAAAAGCCACAGCAGAACAGGTGAATCCACAGGGACAGGAAGCAGATCAACTGCTGTCAGGGGAGAGGGGAGGAAATGGGAGAGACTGTTCATGGGGACAGGGTTTCCACTGGGAGGGGTGGAAGTGTTCTGGTCCTACATAGAGGTGGTTTTTTCCTGACATCTGAGTGTGCTAAGAACCCTTGGGGAACTGGGGGAGGGTGGAGCTCAGTGGCAGAGAACTTACTTAGGTGCAAATCCCTGGCTGCATTCCCAGTACCTCAAGAATCGATTGGTAAATACGATTTTAAAGAAAGTATGAAAATTATCCGTTGAGATGCTTTAAAATGCTGAATTTTTCTGCATGCCCATAATCTCAGGTACTCAGGAAGCTGAGGCAGGAGAATCTTAAATTCAGGGTCAGCCTGGGGAACTAGCAAGATCCTGGAAAGTACTGGGGGGAGAAAAAGGTGTGGAGGTGAAGTTACAGCTGGCTGGCGCATCCTGCATGCGCCCTTGGTTCAGGAACAATGGGTGAAGACCTGAGGACAGTAACGAAAAGAGGAGAATCAGCATTGATGTGATGCTGGCCATTCAGCGGTGACGCCCGCGGGGTGGGCCCTGGCCCCAGCAGACAGCTGTCGGGACCCAAGGCCGTCTGAGGTGTCCACCTCCTGCTCCATGACACCTGGGCTGTCCACGCTGGACCTGGGCCTGTGAGCTCCACAGCTGGCCAGGCTGGCTAAGGGGAACAGGTGGTGAGGCCCCTGCCTCTGGGATCCTGGGCCAGCTGTGGGCCAGGCGGCGGCCAGGCTGCGGATGGTGCCTGCCACAGAACAGCCTGTGGCTCTGCCAGCCCATGGATCCGTCCTCCTTGGGCCCGGCATGCGCAGTGAGGCCCTCACTGCAGTCCAGTCATGGCAGCCACTGCAGTTTGGGCCAAGAACCCTGGGTTCTTGGCTTTGCCTGGCTTTTCCACTGTGGCCCGCATCTCACCTGCACTGTTAGTGCCCTTGAAGTTCATCCCAGTGAGGGCCACATGGCCCCACCTTTCCATTTGTTTTTATGGTGCTAGGGATGAAACCCAGGGCCTCGCATATGCTGGGCAAATGCTCTACCACTGCGCTACATTCCCAGCCCTTTTCATTTTATTTATTTACTTATCTATTTTGAGACAGGGTCTCACTATGTAGTTCAGGCTGGCCTTGAAATCTGTGATCCTCCCGCCTCAGCCTCCTGAATGTTGGGATAACAGGCGTGTGCCACCACGCCCGGCTCCCTTTTCAATTTTATTTTGGGACAGGGTCTTGCTAAATTGTCCAGACTATGTTCGAACTTGCAATCTTCTGCCTTGGCTTCCGGATTAGCCTGGATTACAGGTGCTCACCACTGTGTTCAACCAAACCCCATCAATTTCCGCCTAGATCTTGTCCCTCCTAGCGAATGCCCCTAGTGGAAAATGTTGCCTCCCCAATTCTGAGAGGCACCTGCTAAAGCCATCGCTGGTTTCTCTTCTGGTTTCAGCAGGAGGGTGTCCGCAGTAACCCCCAAGCCCTCTGCTCAGTACCCTCCCACCTCTACTCCCTCAGGTCTGCAGGACTGACGGAGGTCCCAGAGCACTCCTGCGCCTCTGCACAGACCTCTGCGCAGGCTGTCCTGTCACCTGCGATCTCAGGGCACCTCAGTGACCAGGGTGCTCGGGGTCTGCAGCCGGGGGTCCTGTGCTTCTCGCCTATCACTGTCTGCTTCTAACACGTGGGGCGAATCTGGGTGTTTAGGGGCCTTGCGTGGGAGTGGATGCTGTTGACTCCGGCCTTATGTGTGGCGGCTGAGCTGTCGGTCTCTGCTGATGCTTTGGATGCCTGCACGGGGTTCATCCGGAACAAAGACCGGAGGTGGAACCGTGGGTGTCTGCACAGCTTTATGGCCGGGCGGTGGGGAGAGTGGTGCCTGTGTAGCCCGAGGCAGTAGGGCCCCCAGCACGGAGTATCCATCAAGAGGCCCAGTGTCACCTCCTCCGTGGATTATAGTGTTTGAGCACCTGCTGTGCACCTGGCCCTCTGCAGGCCACGAGGGGGGGCAGTGGGGGATGGATCTCCCCGCAGCAGTGGCTCAGACAGGAACTTAGAGGGAGGGTGCCCGGCTCCATCTAAGCCGCTCCACATCGCCTTGCCCCGCCCCTGATCTGGCGCCACCCTTCGGCAGCCCCTTGCACACATCCGGGCACCTTTCTGGCCCCCTCCTCAATCCCGGCCCCTTCCCTCACTCAGGCTCCGCCTCTCCGACCTCTGCTCACTCTGTCCCTCCCAGTCGACCTCACCTATCACCAGACCACGCCCCTCCCTGGCCCCTGGACCGGACCCTTTCAGCCCCTTGTACCCCTACCCTGCCCGGTCCGCTCTTCATCCTGGACCCCGCCCTCCTAGGTCACACCCACCCCAGCCATACCACGCCCCCTCTCGCTTGACACACCTCCGTCCTGACCCCGCCCCTTACTATAGAGCTCCGCCCCAATTCCCTACCCTCTGACTTCTGGTCACCCAGGCTCCACCTCTCTTTACCGTAGACCCGGCCCCTTCGCTCCAGATACACCCCTTTCTCCGACTCTGCTTGGGCCTTTGCTCTAAGGCCCAGCCTTAGCTTTCCGCCCCGTCGGGCTTTGGCCCCGCCTCTCTGTGGAATAGGCCCATCCCACCACCCAGGCCACGCCCCTTACCCACTGGTCTGCCCCGCTCCTCAGAAACACTCCACCCTTCATTTTTGGGCCCCGCCTCCTAGGCTATGCCCCGC